GTGCCCTCCCGGCCCGGCCGGCGATGGCCGTTTTTTATGGCACCGTTGGGACGACGCTCGCTTCTGGGTTTCTGACGATCGCGGGTAGACAATCGAGCACTGTTCACGTAGTTAAGGGTGCGATGTTAATGTTAAGTCAATGGGAGGTGAAAAACCGCAATATCTTGAAAACCGATTGAGATATTAGCCTCAAATTTGGCATGTACCTGCTCCATGGGTATACAAAGCCTACTTTGGACAAGTTGTTTGATTCCGTGCAATATTCACGTTGATATTGCACGATAAAGGTGGAAAAACTGAAAAGTTTGAGCCGAAATTCATTAAATGTCATTCAAAGTAGGCGCAAAAAAAAATGAATGGCACCCGCATCTCCTCAAAGTTGACAACAATTCTATGTACTCCGATTTTCCATTTTCTTTTTGCAATGTTGCAAAAAATGAAAGTAAAACTTTGCTCATCTTTCAATTTTTGTGTGAGGCATAAAACAAAAAACTGGCTACATAGAAATGGGCACAGAACATTTCTTCACACGAAAATGAAGTTTACTTTTCAGAAATATCTGAACTGTGACTGGAATTAAGCCCGATTCATATACACTTTTTGACGGTTTTGTTGGTTCAAGGGAGTGCCGCTAGATGTCGTATGGGTCTCCGCCTCGGTCCCTGCCGTTCCCCCATGTAATAAAACCCGCGAGTCGCGCCGACCGGCGGGGAGGGACTGTCAACACACGGTGATTTACGGTCTGGGGTTCCCGCGTGTGCCGGTGGCCGTGAAACTCTGCCGGAACAGAAGCGAACTCGGGGTTGTCGGAGGAAAATACGGATGGTGGGTGGAGTGAATGAGATTATACTCTGTTCCGTTTCAAGTTTGCAGCCGAAGTGCCCTGCTGAAAGCAGTGCGTGATTTCTGTATATACAGCTCTTACATTTTAACCCGCGCACCGACGGGGGTCTGCGCCAACTTCGCACCGACGGGGGGGGGGCGGATGACCGCCCCCCTGAGATCTCGAGAACGAAGCAAGACAGCGACAAGCGGTAAACGGCATCGGATACGCACGGTGAAGATCTACAATTTTTACTAAGGTCATTTTCAGGTCAGGTCAAAGATGACGTCACAGGGGTCGAAAAAGTCAAAATGGCGGCGCTAGATATGGAGTTTTTCTCGAATAACTTTCGAATTAGTCAAGATAGGAACAAACTAAGGGCATCATCGTGATCCTCTCGGCAATCCGCATCGAATGATATATATGTTGACCTCGAAAGGTCAAGGTCAAAGGTTGACCTCAGGTCACGTGACCTCGAGGTCATCATGTATATCATTCGATGCGTCTTGACGAGCTGAACACAATGAGACCATCCACGCGTCTGTATCTTGTTCCTGTACGGAGTTATTGGCCAAAAACCTTTGGTGACCTTTGATGACGATGACGATGACGGGTCTCTGAAATGCATCAGGAGTAGTCAATTACGGGGTAGAAGGAACAGAACTATCCAATTAAAAAGACCGCAGGCCAATCGGTCCAGCGGTTGCTGACATATTAGCCTCTCAAAAGTGTTACTGGCCGGGCCGGACCGGGCCGCTCAATACTGAGATTTTTCCGTTATATTGAAAAGACCTCGCTTCGCTCGCTGCGCTCTCTCGCTCGTATTAATACATATTGTGTATCTGAGCATGGTTATTATTGAATTAAAATATATTAGCAATGTTAAGCTGATTCCTATACTTCATCTCCGAAATTCTACACACGGTTAGGGCGTTGTAGATTTCGATTGTATTTTCCATCAAGGAAATCCCAAAATCAGAGGAACCGTTCTTTTTATGAAACAGATTCCTAGTTTTTTTTTTTTTTGGCTGACAATTGCCGAATGTGAGTTGTACGTTTGTGGAATTGTAGTTTGTGCTTTCGGATTGTACTTTTTCCTTTATGAAACAGATTTGTACAATCGAAAGTACAAACCTACAAACTACAACTACAATTCTACAATTCCAGGCTTTATGAAAAAGGACACTGTATGTTTTTTTTTCCTTCACGTCTTTGCCCTTGGGCTCCCTCCTACCTTGACCGCTCACGGAACGGCATGTGTCGTGCTTTGCGGGGATCTATCATTTCAGGCACGATGAACTCATCATAAAATGCCTTCACTTTTTCCAGTCTGTTTGCGATGAACGTTTCGTCAGCAGCTATGCGCTGACATGACGTTTCGTTTGGTGTCCAGACAAAAAAGTCACAGAACTTTGCACCAGTGCAAGCCAACTGGCACTGAACTTGGGTGTAATATTCTTGACTCTTTTTTAGCTCAAGTTTGTCGTCAATAAAAAAAAAAATAGTTAGTCCACTAGAAGACGCAGCCAGTCTTTCCAGTGAAGTGTTCTCTGCACTTTTGGAACATTTCACTTCTACTATGATGTCATCAGACTTAGCTCAGAAAAAAAAACTCAGCAACCGCTGGTCCGATTTACTTGCGGTTATTTTTGTAGGGTAGCTTGATTCCTTCTACCAAGTATTTGACTTCTTTCGATGCATGTGGGTGACCCGCTATGCACGTGCCACGTGCAAAACGAAGAGGAGTCATGTTTGTAACAATTGCAATACCTCGGTAGTTACTGGGCCGATTGCGCCGAAACTTTGCATGTAGGTAGGCAGTAGGCACCCACTAGGCAATGCATTTTCATGTCCCACAGTTCATGTGGGGTGCTGCTGCACGTGCGCACGTGCAGGGGTCGATTCCAGATCTCGAGAACGGCTGGACCGATTGCGTTCAGATTTGGTTAGCGGTTAGGGATCCGTTAGTAGGGTGCCGTGCAAAAGTCAGTTGGGACCCATTTTGCACGTGCGCACGTGCAGGGTGCCGCTTCTAGATCTCGAGAACGGCTGGGTCGATTGCGCTCAAATATGGCACATTGCTAGAGACCGGTTAGTAGGGTACCGTGCACAAGTCAGTTGGAGGTACCCCCTCACAATTTCCCACGTGCAAGGCCCACCCTCTCGCTCGCTCCGTTTGTCGTCCTATAAGGCGTTTTACTGGTAGACGGTAGTATGTGTAGCAATGTGAATCTAGCACTGCATTTCACTAAAACAATGCCGTCAGGTCAATCATGTGAGGATATCAGACGCATTCTTGTGACTAGAGCTGCGGCAGACTCAATATTCGATAACATGTATCCATATCAAATAATCAGTTTCGTTCTAACTGGGTAGTAGGACGTACCTACACCAGGCTAAGGACGGCGCCGGGAAGGCCTGTCGAGAGACGTGTTCCTTCCGCGCGGTGTTTACACACCATGATCTCCCTCAGTCGGCGCCGCCCGCCGCGCCGGCGCAGTAACCAAACGTCGTTATCGTAAGGGCCGTGAAATGAGGAGGGGGAGAAGGTCATTAACGTGGGAAAAAAGCGCTCTACCCTGGTGACATCTACTGGCTGAGAATCGGAGTAGTAGTGCTCGGACACCAACGCTGAGCGGAGCCACCTCCGAAGTTAGCGCACCCTTAATTACGGTGTACTAAAAGAGTAGAGCACGGAGATACCGTCGGTGGATGTGCCAGAACGTTTGTCGTCTCCTTACGTGTGTTTGGAGTGCATATCCAAACACAGGGGGGAGTGATGTTGCCGACAAACTGCACGCATTTAATGTTGTGGCTCATTGTCGGCCCCAATTGTAGCTGCCGGGTCGGGCCGACTCGTGGTCCCGGCCGGCGCCGCGCCGCGCCGCCGCCGTTCCCCCCCCCCCCCATGCCCCGCCACGCCGCCGGCAGATGGGCCGTCCGCGCGAGAGTTTATGGCAGTGATCGGGTGACGGGACGCTCCTCTCTCCCGGCGACCGTGTCTTACAGCTGCAGTGGTATGAAAGGATGCGCTGTTACCGGAGGGACTGACCCGGGGGGAGGGGGGTGGGCTGGCGTGGCGTCGCACGTGGAACTGTGTCCCCAGCGGGTCGGAGCCGTTAGGCCGACATGTGCCGACCGCGTGGTAGGGTTACCAGGACGCTGTGTAGTGTGTAGCTTCTTTGTTATTTCATCACTTCCGTCGCCATCTGTGTCCTCCCGACCCAGTACATAAACGGGGCGGGAGCAACCCTCGCTCTCACTTCTTTACTTTTCGGCGCCGAGAGAGCATTGTCTCGCTCTCTCTGGCCAACTCTTCTTGTCAGTGATACTGTGTTGTCATCGCCTATTCGCCATCTGCAATACTCACCAGTTCGGAAGAATCTTGTGTTTGTGAATGGTGAAGAGTGGAGTGCAGCGGCGGATAAGAGCACGGGGAGAGTGGCACACAGTCTTCGCACAGTCTTTCATTTCACAGTGACCGGGTCTACTTATCATTCCTATCTGATTCCTTATTTTCCTAATACCTCTTGCTCTCTGAAAAGAGGGTTCCTTTGTCTCTCTGTAAAGAGGGCTCTATATTTAGGTCTTAACATGCTCTCCGTAAAGAGGGTTCCTTTGTCTCTCTGAAAAGAGGGCTCTGCATACCCTTTTAGGTCTTAACATGCTCTCTGTAAAGAGGGTTCCTTTGTCTCTCTGAAAAGAGGGCTCTGCATACCCTTTTAGGTCTTAACATGCTCTCTGTAAAGAGGGTTCCTTTGTCGCTCTGAAAAGAGTGCTCTTAAACCTTGATCCAAAATTATATCCATTCATATAGCATCCCCTTCTTATATTATAAATTCCCAATTTCGCCTCATTACCATATCAACCTATATCCTGTCAGGTCCCGGTCGCCACACCAAATGATGCGAGACGTCAACACACACACAGTTATACAGTCCACTGAGTCAAGTTGAAGAACGTCTGCAACAATAATGAATTGGTAATATGTGAGGTGCATTCATATTAAGTTCATCGTTAAAATTGAGGTCGGCAAGTCTCTTCTTATACCAATTTTACCCCTTTTTATACATTACTAGCTATTTTATCTCGAAGACGTCTTGTCTCCTCATGTAATGACTTCGCTTCTGGTGTTTGTGCTCCTCCTGAACGGCCTGCGTCCCCGGTGTGTCGTCAGACGCCCCCTCCGGCGGCCGGCGGAGACCCGCTGGACGTGACCCGGCTGCTGTCAATCTCAGTGGGCGCGGCCGACAGCCCGCCGGTGGCCGAGACGCCGCTGCCGCCGCCGCCGACGGCAGAGATGTCCGTCACTCTGGCCCCCGAGACCAGGCTGGCGCCGCCGCCGGCCGAGCAGCACGGCTCGCTGCTGCCGGGGACCGGCGGCGCGCCCGGCCCGGCTGAGGTGACGCTGAGCGGGCCGGGAGCGGCGGCTGGACCAGGTCCGGCGGCTGGGCCGGGACCGGCGCTGGCCGGGCCGGGACCGGTGGCCGGCCCAGCACCAGCTCAGGGCTCGGAGACCGCCGTACGTCCACCGGGCGTGACATCAGAGCCGTCCTCACACGGTGAGTTCGGGCCGTAAAGCGGACGGTAGTTGTCTGGACATTCAAGGCGCCAGCTAGAGCGTGATAGGCTTATTGCATGAATATAATGCAAGTTTGAAGTTTGACTCCATGGAGCTTTCAGCATTGCGTCGCTCCTATGATGTAATTATGAACGCTTCACGAAGATTCTTACAACCAGCCCCGCACACAGCTCCGTAACTCTGTCTCGGTGACCGTCAGGCGGCTACAAGAGGAACACGTCGCACTCTCCGCACGTGCAGGCGGCGGTGCAACGAATCGCCGCCGGCGAGCTGACGGTGGCCGAGGCTTCGATCGAGTTCGACGTGCCCATCCCGACCCTGTACCTCAACATGCGCCGGCAGGGCGTCAAGGCGCGCGGTCGCATTGGCATGACCGGTGAGTGAGGGGCGAGGCCGGCGAGGGGGCAGTTGGTAACATGTAGGCAATGACTGGTTGGTTCGGGAACGGGAGGCATTAGAGAGACGTAATGCATGCCACTGAAATATACACTGTTGGATCATTTTTAATGACTAGTGCACGTCTTCTTTTCATAATAAATGTATATTCTCTGGCCTAAAAACTACGAGAAAGTGTTTACCTCATTGTGCTCGATTACATCACATTCGGTGTTTTGCGCCATGCCTATATAAGTTCGAAGTGCAGCACCATCACGTAAGTAAGACGTACCCACGAGAAGTAAACACCTCACCCCTGTATCGCGCACTTCATGTAACCGAGCCGCTGTGTTTTTCAGGTAAGCGGAAGCCGCGGACGTACATGATGAGCCAGGAGATGCGCAGCGCTCTCTCCGAGATAGAGTCGGGAGCCATCACCGCCTCCAAGGTACGTCTAGGCTTCACTCAATGTACCCTGCGTTCGGGCGGTGCAGGGCGGCTGCCGGCATCTACGAGTTTATTTGGGCTAGTGGTGGCAGCCGAAATGGAAGGGGGGGAATCGGCCAGAGCCTTGAGGGGGGGGGGAGAGTACGAACGCTTTCGAGGGTAGTTTGGATGGAAGTAAATTATGCTACTTGGCATACTAGCGCTTAAAGTTCTTTCATCAATGATTTTATAGGTAGCAATAAATTTACAGATGTGGTTTAGTCTATGCTCAGCAATTCACGCGTATTCTATGGAAAAGACTTAAACTGTTCCGTGAACCAACATCGCCATTTATGCGTTCTATCATTGTACTTTAGGTGAACCCTTTTGTGGTTCTTAGGCTCAATTTTAAACACAGCCTTCTCGCCATTTCAGGCGTCTCGCAAGTATAACATCACGCTGCCCCGGATCATGTCGTGGATGCGTAAGACGGGCGTCAGGAGCGCCTACTCACGGACGCAGCAGGGACCGCCGTCCGAGGCCGGGGGAGCCCTGCCTGCTGTCTGACGGTAGCCGCCGGAAACCAAACCGACGTCGGCGCTCGCGGGGCGGCGCTGACCGCAAGGATGAGTGCGCGAGAATGGTTAGATGAAGTGTAGCTTCGATGTTGCCCTCTCCTTTTTCGCTTCGCGCCACATCTTTTCACGCTTCATATTCATGGTGTCTTTGGGCGCCATTCGGCACACGTTATGTCCGATAGTTTGCCAAAGAAATGATGGATATTTATTGCTGGAACTGACTAGTCTAACAGCACTCGATCGGCGGGTACTATGTGCTCTTTGCCGTGAGGGGCATACTCATATAAATTTGGTTCAGTCAGGAAGGCAGTCTACGCTTGAACAGGGCGTTTCCTTCTGTGTGTAACACGAACTACGCATGTCAAGTCGCGGAAGCTTGTTGGGGAAGTGATGAGTGGCCAGGGAACGTCATTAGCATAATGCAGTTTGTACCAAAGATGTTTTAAATTGAAAAAATAACGGCCATTTCTTTGAAGTTATTTCCTTGAGAAATGACCCGAATTCAGGTAGGTTGGATTTTATTATCTTGCTCTAAGGGAGCACCGTTTGATATAATGATTGAAACGAGACGCAAATTAATTGCCACTGGTCATGCTGTTCATACGATTGTGTGCGTAAATAAATTAGGAGTAATTGATTCCTAATTATTGACCCCTCCTTATTTAAGTTTCAATTCAGAGGCTAGCCGCTGTATTGTAGGCTCATCATGCGGTTTGCGTTCAATGATAGCATGTGTATATATCGATATGTGTATGTGCGATTGTGAGTGTGAATGTTTAGGAAATTGATTTGAAGGGCAGCCAGCCGGCGTGAGATGACAGGGAGGTGGCTAATTCACTACGGACTGACTCAGGATAGCTGTTGTGTTGTGTTTGTTTTGTTGACTTTCCATCGTGTGGTGCCTAAATTATCCATGCAATGTTTTACTAATGCAGCGTGTACGTAGGCAGAGTTAAATTTTACAGGCTTTCAATTGTGAATGCACCGGCGCGGCGCTGTATTCAGCGTTCGCTGCCAGCCCGCCAGTACGTTTGTGAATTACTGGCCTTAGTTTGTGTGTGTTCCCGCTGGACGGAGGTGCTGGGCGCTGGGCACTCACACTGTGCTCGTGACGCAGCCGCTAGTGTCGAGGCTGGGCCGTTCGCTCCTGTCGTGGGGTTGCTCCTGTCTGCAAGGTCGGCTGCTCCTGGGCCGCGGCATACGCTGCGGGTTCAGTACCGCCCCCAGACTCGCACTGTGACACTGACGGCTCAGACCCGAGCCGGGATTCACGTGTTACTCCCAGTGGGAGACTCCGATTAGTCCAATGACGGTGCCTGCAACTACCGGTGTAGCCTGCACGGAATCGGGACCACCCACGCACAATGAGTATCCCCCCGCGTCCCCCCCCCCCCCTACACCACCGGGCACCGCGAGGTAGTGTAGCGTCCACGTCCTGCTGTTGGCTTTTGTATTTATTTTTGTACCTGTACTAGATTCCTGTTGTGATCGTACTTACTAACCAATCGCGCGGATTCGGTCAGTGTTTGTTCACGGTGATTGGAGCGTCTGCCCTCTCTCGGTAAACCCACCCCGCAGGGCTCGAGCGCTCTGGAGGCGGCGATGGATGATGACCCGTCACGCGGGTCTCCTGTCGAATACGGCACAGTGCGGGCACCTTGGCGCCCGCTGTGTTTTGTCAGTAGGTGGGCATCGAGCTGCGCTGGCCGCCCCTCAGGATGTGTAGTCACCTCCCCGGGACAACTGTGGATTTCGTGTCCGTACGCCCGTCACTGGAACAGTGGTTTCTCACCAATAAAATCTGCGAATGGCTCCAGTGGTGTGTGGTGTGGCATTGCTGCAGGCGCAGCCGTGGGCTGGTTTTGAATGAACTCTAGTGTGGCAGGGAAGTCGAGAAAGTGGCTCCTTTTCACGTGTTAGTCGTCCCCAAAATTTTAATCGTGTGCTTTGTATTTCGGTTATGTTTGTTGTCGAGGCATATCTCGTATATGCTGTCCTTTCCTTATTTTCATCACACACTCCCGTTGGCGTTAGCAAAACAGCCTCTGTTTCGCTCCAGTCCCTCTTCCTGGCGAAACTGGGAGTTCTGAACCGCCCCACCGCCCGGCCCGTCTGACCCACACACCTTTGCCGTCGGTGCCGTGTGGTCGGCCTCCCTCTCCTCCGCTCCCCACCCCGTCCCTGCCGTCCCCAAATGAGGGCCAATCAGGACAGCGGACACTGAGAGCCAATCAGCGGGCGGGGACAGGACGGTGACGCCGGCTGTTCCCCGCAGCGGCGGCTGCCGGCCGGCCCCGCGGGCAGAGCCCATCATTATGAAGGAAATGAACGCAGGGACGCTCTGTTGTTAAAGGGACTATCCCACCTTCTAAAATGTTGTTAAAACCAGTTAAATTGTGCCCGACTTTATAGATTGGATGACCAGGAACACGGTTCTGGCATTTATTTTTCATTAAACATCTTAGGCTTCCCATAGGTATTCCAAACACAAACTTTCAAATATGTGACGTCACAGCCCAAAATTACCTCCTTCCCCAGGCCACATTACTGTCATAAAGCTGATTCTTTTTACTCTGTAGGCACCACAACAAAGTTCAGACCAAGTTTTAAGCGATCTTTCAACGAACAAACCCATTTGAATCAGAATGACTAAACGAGGTGACGTCACACTAACGGTCGCTCCATGTTGAAGATAGGGCCTTGTACAAGGCCCATTTTCAAATGAAGGGAACGAATTTCTTCAACACCAAGAAGCCGCGGGGGTTGCAACCTAGATAGATAGTGGTTTCTGAACCTCGCCGCAAACTTGGCTATCTCAACTCAAACCCCATGTTAAAGGTGGGATAGTCCCTTTAACGAAATAAGACGAATTTTGTTGTAAAAAAGACGAAGACGGAGGAGGGTAGTCGGTCAAACAGCGAAGAACAGGGCTCCGGAGAGACGATCCAGAGTGGTAGGGCAGGGCGACTGAGGGTCGTTCCAGCGGATGGGCAGAGCGACTGGTCCCACCCCAGGGGCCTCCGAATTCCAAAAAAGCTATCCATTTGAGGGCATCCGGCACCCATCAAGCAAGACAGTCTATTTTTCAACTCTACGACGGTCCCAAGCTAGGTAGAAGGGTAGAAGTACGGTTAGAGAGCTGAGATTTGGCATACCTTCGTGACCAGCATCGCGACCCGAGTGTTTCTGACCTGACCTTGACGTGAGGTCAACGTCTAAAGCTGCAGCCTCACCCAAACAAAAAATATTCAACGAGCCTGAGCAGAATGCAATGGTGCTAAAATCGCGGCTCTGCGACCGTTTTTGGTGAAGTTATTTACCAAAAACCGAACTCGTGCCCTGGAGCACTTGACCTGACCTCAGATGTCACCGGTTGACCTGAAACCTTAAGATCGGGTACCAGTCGCTGCGTTTCGTAACGGAGCAAACGCTCGTGTTTTCCGTGAGGCTCTAGCTCAATTAGGCTCGAAGCGGCGATAAGGGATCGTATTGGCCCAGCCTGTATCCAACCTGTATGTACTTACCTATATACGTGTATGTACACCGACCCCGGAGTCAGAGTCAGTAAGATTTTGGCGAAACTGCGACTCCGACTCCGGGAAGAACTCCCGATTCCGACCGACGCTGACTCCGGCTCCGACTCCGGAGCCCCAGACTTAAAGGTGCGCTACATGCGACTAGGAGAATCTGAAAATTATTGCATGCTCTAACCCGCGCCGGGCCGGTGCTCTGAGATTCCGCGCCGGGCCGGGGGGGGGGCTGAACACCCCCCCCCCCTTCCTCCTGGGCCACGTAGCGACACGCGGTAAGCGGCAATCGAAAGAACGTCCAAAATAAGGACGAAAACACTAGGGTCATTTTTTGGGTCAGGTCAAAGGTCAGGTCCCCAGGGGTCACCAAAGGTAAAATGTTGAGTATTTCAACATTTTGGAAACTGCCAAGTGCCAACGGCTATCTCGGGAACCGATAGAGCTACAGCGCCGCGGAAATGCGTATTCGATAGCCCTTTTACAGACCTTTCTGATTAATGTTCTCAGATTTGACCTCAGGTCAACGGTTTAGCCTCCAGAGGGCAAAAACTCCAAAAATAGCCGTTTTTACGAAAAGCGTTTTTTTCTGCAATAACTTTTGACTCGAAAGAGCCACGACATTACTTTTGCCAGCATCGTGTTCCTCTCATCGAGACGCGTCGAATGAATTATAATTTGACCTTGAAAGGTCAACTTGAAAATTTGACCTTAGGTCAAGGTCGTGACCTGACCGGAAAAGGTCATGTTGCATATCAGTCGATCCGCAACGTCGAGCCGAACACATCTAAAGCGTTTTCAGCGCTCTAGCACGCCTCTATCAGAAGTTATTAGCGAAAAAAACTGTTAGATTCTGTTCGTGACCTGAGATGACCTCTGAGACATAACGAGGGGTCACAGTTGCCATTTTCCGGTTCAGTGTGTCAATTTTACCTACATCTCGATGTTTGAGCGTGTCTAGAATAGCGTTCGTGCAAAACAGACGCTTTTCAATTTTCTCCCATTGACTTATAGGTATGTACCTACCTAATGGAGAGGCCGCAAAATTGACCTGACCTTAGGTCACCGATATCAAAATTCCGAGATATACACTTTATAGATAATGTTGCTCTTACCATTCGCTGAAAGTTTCAAGGCAATCGATCAATCGGTGTAGCTATGACGAGCATTCTTATTTTTTTCTGAGGTGAGGTCACTTGGCGTGACCTGGTGATCTGACCTAAGGCGACCTGGGTCTGAAATTTTCACAACATGTGCGAAAAAGATGCACAAACAGGTGTGCCAAAAACGGCGGCCTTCCGCGCCGCCGTTTTTGAGATATCTGCGAAAAACCGCAGGGGGGGGGGTGTTCAAACACAAATGCCCCCCGGCCCGGCGCGGGACCGTGTGGCATTTAGCTTCGTAAAAGAATTGCGGTGACCAACTGACCACATGGCGCTCTAACCTGTTAATGGAGAGATATCGTCACATAATGGGTCGTTTAGGTCGCTGATCGATTCTGACCGTTTAAAGGACTGTTATGGGGCAGCCGATCATTTCTGAAGTGAGGCCAATCGTAGCTGTGTATTAGCTGCACGCCGTTCATGTTAGGGTCTGCAATCGAGTAGAAATCGACGCTAGAATGGGATAGTAGGTAGGGTCTAATGCAAGCTAAGTTTAAATACCATGTGAGAGGTGGACTATGTTGCTGTTAGAGTGAGTTTGCGAAATCGGTGGATCCGCGGAGTCCCTAGGGAATCCACGGAGTCCCTAGTGGCTCCGCGGATGAACATCAAGTCTAGTATACATATTCGCGGATAAACGAGCGGGGATCCGCGGATGAACAAGACTCTTCAGGATAACCGCGAACTCCCTGAAGAGTTGACGAGATCCGCGAACCACCCGGGGAATCCGCTGAGTAACGATTCATTCTAGTGAGTTTGCGAAGTTCCTATGCGTTTCATGCAGCTATCTTATGACAAGAATGCAAGGGCATATTGGTTAGATCGTCTGCGACTTAACCCTCGCCCGTCTTGGTGTTTTCCCAGTTGCTGTTGGAATTCGCTAAGTAGGTAACGATTCATTCTAGTGAGTTTGCGAATTACTTTTTTCATCTCGCTTAGACATCGCTCGCAAATATCAATATACAATTAAATAATAGACGGTAAGCCATTTTTGGCGTGGTTGAACTTCTGCGACCAGTCTGCTTACTTTTCTCCCAACCATGAATATTGAATGGAAAGCTGGAAAGGCATCTGAGCGATCATGTGAATGTATGCAAGTGTGTATGAACTATGAATAACAGTAATGCTCACTCTTCCTCAGAGGCGGAGCTTCCTGTACAGCCCTCAGCAGACTGCGTGGTAGGTATTCTTTTTTGGACAAAACCGATAATTACTCAAAGGCGGAACTCACTGCAAATAGATGAGCCATGCTCCACTCCTTCGATTGGGTCTATCACTAAGCAAAGTATATGCCTTGTGTGGCAATAAAATGCAAAAGTTTTTTTGGGGGGCAAATATAAACTTTTGGGTTTCGTTGCCAAATTGGATGTAAAATGAGCACGATGATAATGTCAATCTAACGTGCGGAGTCTCATGCGTCTTGCTGTCACGATTTCCGAGTGACCGATAGCATAGTATTCGCGTTAGGTATTCTCAGTTTTGTCGAAAAAAGAATACCTACCACGCAGTTTGCAGAGGGCTGCACAGTTGGTGGGGCAGTTGCCCCCTCCCACAACTTGCCCTTTTGCCACAGCCGACCTGACCCGACCGGTCAGCACCGCGCCTACAGCCGCTCCAGCCCGGCGCCACAGTATATCTATTCTGGGGAACATTTGGACTGGAGGGGCAATGCTGAACTCCGATACGAGAACCCAAAACGTACCTATTAACCCGCGCAAAAATATCAACTTTGAAATTTTAGCTAATTTGACCTGACCTTGACCTGACCTTCACCAGAGCATAACCTAAACTGGCCCCAAAGGCTGCCTTACCCAAATAATCGCATTTGTCATGTAAAATTGACCATAAAACATGCATCACATGCTATTTTCATATTGTGACCCTCTGTGACCTGACCTGGCATCAGTGACCTCAACTAGCAAAATATGTGTTTGAAGAACAATTTTCCATCGTTGATTTTCAGTGACATGCATTTTACTCGATTTTACAAGCACAACACATTTCTTGAAATGCCTGTAAACGGTGAAAATTCGACATTTGACCTGACCTGTGACGTTATCGCTTTGACCTAGGTCAATGAAATTGGGTCACATGGTAGTTCCCCGCTGCGGCTATCCAACAC